ATGCACCTGTCCAAGTCAGGAGCCTGTTATTCAGTGGTTGTCGTTTGTTTGTATGGTTCATAAGTGTTTCTCGTTTCTCGTTTTTAATATGGATTAGACCGTTGGTTTTCCTGTTTGAATTGTTTTACGCTAGTCTTTTTGGGACCATTTATAGTTTGCTGTTCGGTGTGAGCCAAGACTCCGTGTTGAAGGCGGTACTTTGACCTATAATTGTTTACTTTTTACACATTTTGACTTGGATGGATAGTTGTCTCATTGGCACTAGTACCACATCTTCTTATTTATATCAACTAAAATGAAAACTTCTTGACTCGAACAGTTTTCTTTATGATCAGGTGGAAGAGGACATTGTAATAAATCTAAACAAAATTCCAGTAATCTGAGGCTTGCCATGCCATTAACAAGGCATTTGCTTACTTCTGTTTAATGATTATGTTGGTGTTGAAATTAGACAGGCAACCGCAAAAATCTGCTTGTATGACAACGATACGCGAATACTGTAAATTTAGAAATTATTGCGATGTTTTTATTATTGCGAAAAATGCGACAGGGTTATAATCGCAATAATTTAAACTCGCATTTTGAAATATCTTATATGAATTAAACAGGATTGTTCTCAATATCGCAAAAATTAGAATCGCATTTTAGTCTAAAATGACAAAATCGCAATAATAAATGCACGCAATAATTTCTGAATTTACAGTAAGCTGCACATACAGGTAGTTCAAAAAAATATGATGTAGGCAAGAGTCTTTTCCACAGTCTTCAAAAACAATAGTTGATTATCGTTTTGACAAATATTTAGATGCAGTAGAATTATTCCATTGAGGCAAATACGACGCTATCCATTTCGAAGTTGCTTCATTTTATTCTTCTTCAATACTACATTCAACTCAACAAGAACCATCTCTTAATGTATATGGCCTTTCTACTGGATGCTAGGACTATTACAGGATGTACTTAATGACAAAATGTACAGTTTACATTGGTCGTTTATGTATGATCCATCATCCATTTAGCTACAGTAATAGAAGATTCCATCTATGAAACATTCAGTATTGAATATGTGGATCCTTCCGCGAATCCTGGTGGTTTTACGATATCAGCCGTGGACAATATTGACAACAACAGGAGTTCAACTACGGCTAAAGAATCGTCACATAGTACGAGCATTTCCATATTTCAGCATTTTCTTAGGTCTAACTTGGCTAATTCGTCATAATCTAATGCTTTAAAATATATGCATTTCTCTTATATTCTCTCATACTTTAACCAATATATTACGCGCCAGCACAACTGTTCGTATTATTGCTATAACTTAGTAACTAATAATATTAGTAAAGACTAAGATATATCCTAGCACTAACCAAATACAACCATGCGTTTCATACTTACATCTAAGTAATAACCGTTTTATGGACATGCACTCTGTCAATTGTCTAACCAGAAATACATGTACGACAACCTGGTATAATTAGTTTATTGTGCAACTCTATACATGGTATACATAAATTAACAAAATAATAACACAGATGGCTTGAAGCAGATGACAATGAAAACATTAAGTATGTCAGGACATCATTCCACGCATGTGGTGCCACGACAAATGGCCATCCGCCTTTATATATCAGTCCGCATTGAACAATGTTTCAGGAAGAGATCGAATCTGTCACTACGATTCGACATTCCGTAAAACAATCCAGCAATGTGTTCAGTACTTTTGTGATTTTACTTTTTTTGTGCTTTTTTGTTAAATATTTTTTTGTTTTGAGATTGTGACACAATGATGACTGCTGTACCCATATTGTGTATTGTGACTATTTTACCTATTATGTCTGTTTTGTTCACGCATCGTTGTAAATATAACGGAATTTGATGCGACTGTCATACAAGTGAGAGGTTTAGTGCTATAAAACCAGGTTCAATCCACCATTTTCTACATTAGAAAATGCCTGTACCAAGTCAGGAATATGGCATATCTAGAAATTGAGTATGAGGGTCGGTTGAAAACAAAAGTTTACGACATATGAGATGATTTTAGCTTTCCAATTGTGAACTTTTCATTTTAAAAATCAAGAGTTCAAAATGATGAAGTTGAAAACATCACTTCGTACATTTTACGGACGCCATCACGAGTTGGTTGACCATTATGGAATATCCGTTATACAGATGATATCGGATATGTTCCTTATGTCGTAATTTGACCTACCGAATTAGACTATTTACCAGCTTTGTAATAACTTGAGCAACACGACGGATGCCTCTTGTGAAGCAGGATCTGCTTACCCTTCCGGAGTACCTGAATTCATCCCCAGTTTTGGTGGGGTTCGTGTTGTTGTGGTATCCCTATTTGTGACATTTTGTTCACACATCGTTGTCAACATAACGGAATTTGATGCGGCTGTCGTACAAGTGAGAGGTTTAGCGCTATAAAACCAGGTTCAATCCACCATTTTCTACATTTGAAAATGCCTGTAACAAGTCAGGAATATGACAGTTGTTGTCCATTCGTTTGATGTGTTAAATTATTTGATTTTGCCATTTGATTAGGAACTTTCCGTTTTGAATTTTCCTCGGAGTTCAGTATTTTTGTGATTTTACTTTTTAATTGTTTTCCGAGAGGTATCAATTATCATTTGCGATTTTTTGCGGTTGCCAAATCGGAAAGGTGGCAAACATATTTTAGCACAACAAAGAGTAGTTTTGCTTTAGGTATTCATATAGGATTGGCATTATTGAAAACCTTATGTGATTGGTTAGAAAACAGTAATTGCACAAGTGTTCAATCAAGGAAACATAGTACTTCATGAATAGCAGATTCTTTTTAGAGGCACTCATGCATCATGAACAAGACATTTCCATGAGGTTACAGTAGGTGTACTTTTCATTCTTATACAAAGATCCTAACATAATTTTTGCTGAGGAACGAGACCCTGGTCAAAACTATGTTACATTCAAAGAATGGATTAATAAGAGGAAATTGAGTGCACTTAACCACAAGTGGTCTGTAACATTAAAAATTGAACTTGATATTTTGATGTGAGATCATTAAGAGAATGTTCCATCTGGGTATATATATGTGTCATTATACTGCTTATGCAGTGGTTCTTTGCATGTTCCCATCCACATTATGGCTCCTAGTACCCGTGTGCGATATTGTGCAATTTAACTATACAGTTCAAGTGTTGCAAATGTAATTTGAAAATGGTAAATGTAGATCAAGCCATGAGTAGAATTACACACTTGTAAAAGGAGAAGGTTGGGCAATCGGATTATAAATATGGTGTCTTGTCCAGAAATGGCTATAGTAATTAAAAAGTTTCAATCCACCTTATAAGCATATGGAACCTTTAGGTTCAGCCTTTTATCCGTAGTGCTTCTTCGAGTAAATGCGGATGGTATATACCCTATTGGACATTTATCACAAAAGTATCAGCATTTTGAAATGAGTTAATAAAATATGGTTGAAAGATATTAAAACGGTAGATAAAAATGTGCGAGGACAATGATGGTATGCACAGTGCTGTTTAAAATGTGGCGAGGAGTTGTGCAAAGACTAAATGGGCTGTCATTAATAAACATTTTGAAAACTGCTGTGGAAATATGTTGTTGTTTAGATGATAAAAAAGATGACGAAGACACCAAGGCAATCATCAATCTTTAGAAAAACAAAACCAGACAACAGCTTGAAATAAAAAAACGCAAAAAGACTAACATCAGTCAAGACATCGCTACACAAAATCTAAAAATTGAGCAACGCCAACCATCATAAAACAAGAGATGATATCAGGTGCTCAAGAAGGGTCAGCTGCCTAGGTACTATTGTTTAAATAGCTTGATGAGTCACCAAATTTAAAACATGTTGGTATATGTAAATTATCTAAAATTTTACCAAATGTGAAAGTTTAAAATTAAATAAGGTTTTCCGTGTCTGAACAATGGATAAACACGACTTTCACTGGATGACAAAACAGACATTCAAAAATAAAGAACAACGCAGGTGTTCCAGAAGGGGGTGTAGTTTCTGGCCAACTGTTAGCACGAGTGGTGTTAATCATTGCATGTAGAAAGTCGGTGATGAGTTGTATTTATTGATCATCTTGATCCACAGTCGAGCAAATAGATAGGAATGTAGCAAGGAGAAGTGGAACATATAAATTATCATTTGTGACTCAGATGGTACACAGTCAAACAAATCCTAAAGGCGTCCTAAAAACGTTCGAATGTTTCCATTTATGGGATATTTGATTAAATTGTCTTGCAAACAGCATCGATGTATAAGGTAAACCCAATCCCTAGAACATCGTATGAACCGCAAAGTGCAATTCTATGAAAGAAATGAATATCAGCAGAGTCATGTTTATTTTAGTTCATTTTCACTTTTTGGCGGCCATTTTGAAATTTTCCTCCATTTAAAAAAACGTTTTAATATCTAATATACCGCCATGACTTTCTAGAAACATTGGATTACATTTTATACGCCTTTAAAAGATTTGATTTGAATATTATTTACTTTAGTTTATACATGGTGGTGAAATTTTGACTGATTGACAGCCATCTTGAAAATTGCCGCCATATTGGATTTTTCAGAGCTGGTCCATAGCTTAAATTGACTACCATATATAGATCTACAATTGTGCAAAGTTTCATGCTTTTATCATCAAACCCACAATTCTTCTAAAAATATGCACGAATCAGCTGGACTACAATGTAAATTTATATAAACGATAATACTTGTAACTATAAAAAGAAATAACTGTTTCAACAAAGAAACACAAAATGTCATATAGACAAAGTACATAAGCAAAAAATGATAGACAAGAACTCAAAATTGATTATAGCACAATAACACAATAGATAAAGTTTTTCTCAAATATCATCAAATTCCGAACAAATCTTTAACTCGACCAATATATTCAAAACAAGCGCAGAAGTTCAGAATTTATTCATTCCTTTGTTTCGGAGCATATTTATTCTTTTATAAAAAGTGCAGTAAAACAAACAACATCATTTGAGCCCCTTGTCAATGGAAATGCGAAATAGTTCTTACTGTTCCTGTAACCTCATCAGTACTTTGAATAAACTTATTTTAAAAGGTTATCTATTTACAACCATAGTAAAATCTTTGAATATTATTTTATCGGTACTCATTGATACATAAGTCTGGGAGAACATAATTTAGTTGCAATTAGCCTTGAACTAGATCTCAGTAACTGTCAGTACTGTTAAATCGGTCTTTTGTGTGTTTTCCAATCTGAAGATTAGCCATTTCCAACTTATTTTTACAGTCTGGTGTTACACCAGTGTTTCAGGTTAGTGAGATTGAGCGCTAACAAACATATTTAACACCTCTACATTCTATATGTGTGCCTCTCTTCAATCAGGATCCTTTACTTTAGTGATTGTCGTTTGTTGCTGTTTGTCATATTATTTTTTTTCTCATTTTAATTGTTAGAAGTGTTCATTATGGTAGAAATGTTTATCCAACGTGCAGGTTGTGTTTGTTGGAAATGGGATTATGACAACGTTAGTTTCTAAAAATAGCTAGAAACATTCAACCTGCTCATCATACAAAACTATTGGTCAACAGTCAAAAGTGAAATAACAAAAATACCGAACTCCAAGGAAAATCTAAATTTGAATTCTCTTTACAAATGGCAAAAACAAAAGCTGAAAACACATCAAACGAATGGAAATCACCTGTCATATAAAAGAAGATCTGTTGGTTTAAATATTGCATCTATTAGTCTATTCTCAGAGACGATTTGTTGGTAAAAACTTTCTAGATGGAAAAATAATGATGTTGCTTTTCTGTTGACACTCAGTTTATTATTCTTAGTTTTTGTATCAACTTTTCCTATTTACATTCGATATATTAATTTTAATTTTTGTATTAAACTTTGCTATTGCCACTCAGTGTATTAATCATAGTCTTTGTATCAAAACTAACATTTTTCACAAATATATTTAGCTGTAATTCCACATCTATTATCATTCCAAGCAAAGTTGTTAGTAAGACGTACACAACTTCCGTCTCCTGATGGTTGTCCAGTATTCCAATTAGTAAAACCAGGTATAGAATTGTCAGATAGCCATCTCCATTTACTATTGACTTTCTGCAGACCAATACAATAATTAAAAGGTGTCCCCACTGAAATGAAATAACATAGTATTATGAAATAAAGTCGTCCAAATAATTTCTTTCAATGTTTCTAAAAAGTATTTGCATCAACCTTTACTTATATAAGCTGACAATACCATCATTTGATAATAACAAGTACTATCTATATAATTCATGAAATCTAACAACACCATACCTGATAATAAAGATGTGACGGTAATTTGCAATGGTTTTTTTATCTTTAGTTCTCAAGTGAACCGTATTTTAAATCGACTATGGACAATTCTCTGATGAGTATGATTTGTTATGTGGGTCGGTCGTATCCGAAGTATGCCATGTCCAAAGTTTCGTTATTTTTTTCTTCAAAAATATACAAGTCCTGACTTTTTCGTTATACCTACAGAATTTTAGGGGATTTTGATAGTACATTAGAGTAAGATGGTGACTTACATATTGAACTTGTGTACGGTTCCGGTTGACTGACATTTGGCGGAATTGCGTCTTGTTAATCCAGTGTGTCTTTATGATTGAGCGTGTGTTCTGATGATTGAGTGTGCGTCTTGGTAATTTCTTGATTGTCTTGTCGATACAGTCTTTGTTAATGATTCATTCGTCAGGTTGATTTAGTATGTCTTGATGATTTGATATGCGACTTGATGATTCATTATATTGATGATTTATATTCGTGTTTTGGTGATTGTTGATTCAGTGTGTCTTGATGATTAACTATGTACCTTGATGATTTCGTGAGCGCCTTGATTTAGTGTGTGTCTCGTTGATTCAGTGTGTTTGGTTATTACATATCCACCTTGATGATTTAAGTTATCCTCTTGGTGATCAAGCTGGCGTCTTGGTGATTTCGTGTACGCCTGATGATTTAGTGTGCATCAAGGTGATTACGTGTGCGTCTGATACGGTGCTTTTTGTCCGCAATTTGCCTTTTGTCCGCATTTGCTTTTTGTCCGATAATTTTGCTTTTTGTCCGACACTTTTGCTTTTTGTCCGTTGCTTTTTGTCCGTTTTGCTTTTTGTCCGATAATTTTGCTTTTTGTCCGTTGCTTTATGTCCGTTTTGCTTTTTGTCCGATAATTTTGCTTATTGTCCGACACTTTTGCTTTTTGTCCGTTGCTTTTTGTCCGTTTTTCTTTTTTAGCTCACCTGGCCCAGAGGACTAAAAATTGAACATTGGGGTGAAATGTTGGTTTTGGCTTATATCTCTGAAACTAAAGCATTTTGAGCCAATCTGACAAGGGGTAAAAATGTTCATCAGGTCAAGGTATATCTGCTCGAAATTTTTCAGACACATCAGACAACGCGTTTTTGGGTTGCTGCCCCCATTCAATCACCAATTAGTATACCTTAGGTAAGGCAGCAAACCAGTTGGTACAGCCTAGTAGTTTGTTTCCCTTTTGCCAGAGGTGCTTTTTAAATTAATTTCAACATTTTTTATTTGAAGTTGTGTTACTTTTTAACTTTCCATTTAAAGTTTTTGATATGATGTATACAAATATTAACTTTTACGAATTTTACTTTTTATGGAGATTTATGTAGAGGTTATCAGATTTTTTTGGGACCCCTTATCATAAGAAGATAAAACGGAGAAATTTTTAATTTTACTACCTTGTGGGATTTTGTAGATTACACCTACCGGTATCAAAAAAGGATTTGCATATACTATGTAAAACATTTAAGCTAAAGTGAATGAACTTTCAAGTATATTTAACATTAATCTGGTCATTCAAAAATTAAATAGTTTTTCTTTAATGGCATACAATACAGTTTCGATCCATGATGCTTTTTTTTCACAAAAATTTGCATACAAGCTATAGTTTTTCACCTAAGCAATTCAATTATGCAATAAAAATATACCTTCATGTGCTACTTTAAGAGATAAAAGGGGTCAAAATTTCGGTTTTTTGGACATTTCTATCCTTTTGATAGACACACCTAACTTTTTTATTTCAACAGATAAACACAAGCGGATTTTTGTTAAAAAATTATGAAAACCTTCTTTACTCATCTCTTAGTATCTCAGTCAACAATTCTTTGAAAATAGTTAATGTTTAACTTAGTTTCGGAATCTTAGGAAAAACGACATTTTTGCGGTATATTTATCAAATTTAAAAAAAAAATCAATGTTGACTTTTTCATTAAAATTGGTACAAATAATCTTCATACGTATCAACCATAATCAAACATAATGAAATTAAAAAAAAAAGGGGGGGCATGTACTCGTTTTCATGTTAAATCAGTTTAAATCACACAAAAAAAACCAGTCATTTCTTGATATGTCATAGTTTGACCTCGCGAAAATTACATTTTACGTTAGCAACGCCATTACCTTCCCTGTAATTGTATTGTATGCCCTTAATGGCAGAGGGTAGTCGTGAAGGTACGGATTACTTGTACAATTCATTCAAACATATATAACATTTTAAACAATAAGAGGAATTTGTATGTTTAAGAACACATATTAATGTCATATAATTTTAACAATTCTTTTCTTACCAATTTGACTATACGTTTTGACTTTTAAGGAAAGATACCTCTGAAGGTGGTACAAAAGACACTTTTCAAAATGTATTTACCGTGTTTTTACACATCAGGAAGATGTATTTTTCTTTAATTAAAACTTTTTTATCAGAATCTTTTATTTCTTATGTTTGTATTTTAATCTATACATGCAAATACCGTATAGCGAAAAGTTTAACTTCTTATTGACTAAAAATATCAGAAGACATCAGAAATTTCATGCCAATCCAATGGTTTCGTGTAAAACTTGTATGGTATATTTGTACATTAGATGACTCTCCAGTAAAGCCAATAATCAAAAATGTGATCATTATAAACCAGTTTTCGCTCGGCTTTTAACAGTGAGTAAACCTCATACCACAGAAAAAAGCTCGCTCAAGCCCGGGAATGATCGATATTTAACGCTAATGGCATTTTCTGAATTTGCAACCACGAGTTCGTTAGTTTATGCATGCAAATCGTAACAATACTTGTATCTTAAACTGAAATTAATTATTAATAATTATGCCTCGATACAAAAAAGATGTAAAATTGACATTTCAGAGCAATTATTTATTCTAAGTCCTTCAACTTTGGCAAAAATTTCTTAATCTGAACGAAATTGAAGGATGCTTTGCATTTTCTCAGGATAAAACCATACACAATGTTTCAAGCTTACAGATAGATAAGGAAAATGGAAAATCTATGGTTTCAAGCAGAAATATTCCATCAAAAGAGGGAGGCGAAGGATACCAAGAAGGCATTGAAACTCAGAAGTCGAAAATGAACTGACAACGCCATGGCTAAAAAAGAAAAAGACAAACACACAAACACTTAAAGTACAAAAAATATAACATACTGAGCAAAACTGGGGGTGATCTCAGGTGCTCAGGAAGGGTATTATGTATAACCCCGCCACATTCTGTATGTATGTTTTCTGTCCCAAGTCAGGAGCCTGTAATTCAGTGGTTGGTGTTTGTTGCTGTTGTTTTTCGTTAATTTTTTTGTATAATAATTGGGCCGTTAGTTTTTCGTTTGAATTGTTTTACATTTGTGATTTCGGGTCCTTTTATAGCTGATTATGCGGTATGGGCTTTGTTCATTGATGAAGGCCGTACGGTGACCTATAGCTGTTAATTTCTGTGTCATTTGGTCTCTTGTGGAGAGTTGTCTCATTGGCAATCATACCACATCTTCTTTTTTTAAAAGCAGTTCCTGCTACACACGTGGCACTCATCGTGCTGCTCGTGTTAGTACAAAGCCGGTAACAAGTCTAATTCGGTAGGCCACATTCAGGGAAAACGGGACGGGCTTGTAGTTAGGACATTTGAAACCTATCCACTATCATCTGTGAAACAGATATTCCATAACGGTCAACCAATTCTTGATGGCGTCCGTAAAACTTACGAGGGGATGATTTCAACTTCACCACTTGGATTTCTTGGTTTAACAGCTTCTTTGTGAGCAACAACCCTCTATCAAAGAACTCATGATTGGAAAATTATTATTATTGTCGGCAAAATAGTCTTGAAGAAAATGGGTCAACAAAATAAGTCAAGTTTACCGATTAGTAAAAGTATCGGAAAAACTTGACTATAACAATATTGATCAAGGTCAAACAGACGTCTGATGTTCAGTCGTGTGTTGATGTGGTTCATAAGTGTTTCTCGTTTCTAGTTTTTTATATAGATTAGACCGTTGGTTTTCCCCTTTGAATGGTTTTACACATGCCATTTGTGGGGCCCTTTATAGCTTGCTGTTTGGTGTGAGTCAAGGCTCCGTGTTGAAGACTGTACTTTGACCTATAATGGTTTACTTTTACAAACTGTGACTTGGATGAGAGAGTTGTCTCATTAGCACTCATACCACATCTTCTTATATCTATTCTGACGCTATCTTTTCGGTTTTTAGGTTTATGCAATATAAATGATGCCGACGATTTTCACGTTTTTGATTGTCTATGAGGTGAAGCGTTGAGTGTCGTACGGTGTCATGTAGTCTCTATCACCAAATACATTTGGTCTCTTGTAGAGAGGGGTTTCTTTGGCAATCTTACCAATTATTCTAAGTTCCATTTTTTTTTTTAAATCGACCGTCACTGATGAATCCTTTGTAGGGAAACGCGAGTTTGGAGAATACAGTTATACATCTGCATGGTATCTTTCATGAATGTTTTAATTATTATCCGAGATACAGACCTATAACCACCAATACTTAAAATTGACCAAGGAACTATGAAACTGAGGTCAAGGTCAGATTGCCACTTCTTGTCGGATATGTAAATCATACATAAATTAAATCTAGCCTATGTCGAAAACTCATGATTGATCGATGAATGACGAAAGTAAGGGCAGTGTCAGTTTACATGCAATTAGACATCTATATATTGCAATCATCCAATACAACCAATATTGTCCAACTATTGGTTATTATCTAAGATACCACACTCATTAAGACAAACAAATAAACTATAAAAATGTATTAAATTTCAGATATACTATTTGCGAATAGTATGTTCA